GCCCCACGGCATCGAGAAGTTTGGGCCGCAGTCCGTGTGGGGCGTTTCCAGCCGGCGTGTTCTCCAGCTGGGCTCTCTGCTATGGAAAAACCCTGCAACAGGCTCTCCCGGCATCCCGGGAAGTGCTTCCCGCTGGGTTTTATTGCCTGGGGTAGCACCGGGCGCAGGAGGGTACTCGGTGGAGCGGGTCACAGCCAGCTCCTCCGTGAGCGATGGGATGGAGCCATGTCCTCAGCTGAAACGTGCCCCACGGGGTTGTTTTGCCCACAGTGCTCCAGGGCGGGGGGTCTTGGGGCGCACCCCGACGTGGTGCGGGGTGGGCACCCCAGCCTGGCCCTGTCCAGACCTCCGCACAGCCTCGGGGCCGTGGCTGCTCTGTGCCACCAGTCCCTGCAGTGAGAAGATGCCTTTTAGGCTCTAGGATTGTGCTTGCAGGGTCCGTGGGCACCCCACGTTTGCCACCCACCCTGGGGGGTCCCCCAGCATCCGACTCATGCTGGCAGCTGGGGGGGATGCTGGAAAACCTCTCCGCTCCATATCTGGCAGGGAGACCGGAGAAATCACTGTAATTGATTTTTTTTCCCTTGCCTGCCTCAACCTGCTGCCTTGGAGGAGATTCTTCCCCCACCCGGGTGGTCCGTGGGCAGCGGGTGCGGAGGCAGGCTGGCATCTAGTGACTGGCATAATACAGAGCGGCCCCCGGGCTGTTCCGCAGGGGGGCTGGGATGGCCCCATGGGGATGAACCATGTTTTGGGTGCCTCTGGTAGAGTGGCTGGCGGATGCCAGGTGTTTTGGGAGTTCATTTTGGGATGCGTTTAGTACGAGCCCTCTTGGGTGTGCTGCTGGGGAGTCTCCGGTGGCTCTCAGAGCATCTCCCAGGTGTGCCGTGCCGTGAAGCAGATCCAAAATACTCACCTTAAAAGACGGGTCACATCCCGTCCTCTCCCTGAAAAGGCTGCAGGAGCGTGTCTGCCCGGGCCGGTGGCTCTGCCCCAGCGCCGGGCAGCAGAGATGCTGAAAAAGGGCCTAAACCAGAGCAAGCGTGTGCTGCCAGCAGAGAGCAAGGGCTTCCCGAGGCAGCCAGCATCTTCCCCCGCAGCCACCCTCCGTGAGTGGTTTTCACCCATTAATTTCTCTAATTGCTTTTGGAAAGCGCGGTGGTGCTTGGCACCGGTAGCATCGCGGTGAGGTGCTGAGCCAGGCTGGGGTGAGTGCTGTGCCTTGGGGGAGGCTTGCACAGACCCCCTGACCACCACTCAGCACCCCAAATCCCAACCCCTGCCCAGTGGGTCAAGGGACCCCGCTCTGCTTGGGGAGAGCATCTTTCCAGGTGGACAAAACGTAGGAGCCGCAGCGATACGGTGAGGTGACGAAGGCTCAGGGCCAGCCAGGTGCCACCCATCCCTTGCAGACCCCCGGGGACCGATCCCCAGCGGACGCAGAGCTGCGCCCTGGGGGTGTCACCGCTTTCCCTCCAGGTCGGCCACGATGGGCTCGGTGGGAGCCGAGCGCTTCAAGGAGCTGAGCCCGGCGGGGACGCCGGAGGGCAACGTGGTGATGAGCTTCAGCTTCGACAGCTACCAGCTGGAGGAGGACGAGCTGCAGCGGGGCAGCCAGGCCAAGGGCGTCCTCACCTTCATGGAGCCGGGTGAGGGCAGGCATGGCCGACCCGCAGCCAGGAGCCGGGCTTCCGGCTGGTTTCCCACGCGTTTAGGAGCTTCTTTGGTTTAATAGCCACAAATGGCCTGAAATGCCATAAAATTGCCGAACGCCTTTTCTTGGACCCGTTCGTAGCCACGTGAGCTGCGCAGTGTCCCGCGGCAGCGGGCTCCGCTGGCTGGCAAGGAGTTGAGGGTTCATGCCCTGGCTCTGCTGCCCGGCTCAGCCCCAGCCTGGAGCTTCTCCCTTTCCCGTGCAGGGCTCAGGGATGCTCCCGGGATTTCCCCCAGCCCTGCTCCGCATACCGGGGCAGCCCTGTCCACCTCCACAGCCCCTCCAACCTCTCCTGCGCCTTGGCTTTGGCTGCTACCTTCATGCCTGGCTCTTGGGTCATTCGCCTCAGCAGCCCCAAAGCCCGGGTGTTTTCCTGCCTCCCGGGTCCCTCGTTGAAATGCCTTTATTTAGGGGAGTTTCTCGGGGCTGGGGCCATTTATTCGTGAGAGCTGTGGCTGTCCCCCGCGTTGCCACAAAGGATGTGGAAGCACTGTTCATCACGCCCCGGCTGGGGTCTGCTGCAGGTCCCATGGGTGCAGCGTGCCACTGTCACATCTTTTTCTCTTCCTTTCCCCTTTTGGGGCAGCTTCTGAGGATCCCGAGCCCCAGGATCGATACCATGGGATTTACTTTGCCATGCTGCTGGCTGGGGTGGGATTTCTTCTGCCGTACAACAGCTTTATCACCGATGTGGACTACCTGCACCATAAATACCCAGGTAGATCTCCAGCAGCTGCAGCACTTCCCAGCCATCCCAAACGTGGGGAGAGCTTGGCCCCACTTCCAGGGGAGCCAGACCCCCAACCCCCCATCACCTGCCTCTCCACAGGGACCTCCATTGTCTTCGACATGAGCCTCACCTACATCCTGGTGGCTTTGGTGGCCGTCATCCTCAACAACGCGCTGGTGGAGCTGCTGAGCTTGCACACCCGGATCTCTGTGGGTGAGTGGGGGTCCCCACAGCCCCCGGCAGCACTGGCCCCGCATTGCCCACCACCCACCTCTGTCTCCTACCCGCAGGCTACCTCTTCGCCCTGGGGCCCCTGCTCTTCGTCAGCATCTGCGACGTCTGGCTGGAGCTCTTCACTCGCAGGCAGGCCTACGCCATCAACCTGGTTGCCGTCGGGGTGGTGGCCTTCGGTTGCACAGGTACGCGGGACAGCGGCTGGCACGGAGCACGGCCCTCAGAGAGGGGTGGGAAAACACCCCCAACCCCAGAGCCGTGGTCTCCTGGCACAACCTCTTGCTCTGGCCCCTGTGAGCTGACCCTCACGTCCCTGCTCCGTCCCCTCCCGCTCTGTCCAGGCACCGCGGGACTGGACGGGGCCACCAGCACCAAACCACGCATCGGTCCCCAACACCATGATGACTTTGCCATTTGGGCCACCATGGTGACTCCCCAAGCCCCTGCACCGGGTGGTCACTC